GTTCATGTATCAAACTCGACATACAGTAGTGGGTGCCTTCAACCTGGTAACTTTCAAGGGCTTTCGAAGAGTTGACCTTCCGCAAAAATGGTTGCAGCAAAAGAACAATGGATAATGGTTCCTCGAAAAAGTACATGTGACACACGGAATACACTAGTGCAATTGCTCCTTTTCAAAAAAGAACTGCAAGTTTAAGTGCTACTCACTAGGCGCATTCCGAAGTTTTACTGCTTCTTTTACAGCTAGCAATGAACACTGCCTTTACTACTTTATTTCCAATTCCTTGAGACTTTAGCAGCAGACAAAACTCTTACAACGATAGGGTGTACTACATTTCAAGTGACATCCTTCTACTAAAATAATTGCACCTTGATCTTCTAAATCCCAGGCCCTTCGAAAAGTAGAGAGTGGCATATCATCACAAAATTGAGATGTGAATAATCTACCTTCTGCCCGAAATAAGAAAAATTTTATATTCAACAACTAATACTTGGACGGCTTTGCAAAAGTGAAAGGAGGAAGATCCATGGAAACACAACAAAAAAACTTCAACTGCATTCTCCTATATTGCTTTCGCTGTTACTATGGTATCCGGTGCACGAAAGCGGTCTCTGTGCCTATTTCGCACTTCCCTTGATATTTTTGTAAATTATTAGCATTGACGAAAAAAGAATAAATAGGGACGGGAAGAGATGTAGTGCGCGCCTGTAGTAAAAAAAGGTTCTTATTAATTTACAATACAACCATTTGCTTTTCATTCAATATTCAGCAAATCACGTAGCCGTAAATCACTAAATTTCTCTGAATTTTTTTTTGCAGCTCGAAAATCTAATAGGGAGAGGAGATACAGAAGCTTCCTGGGATGGTGGTAGTTGTTAAATTTCCCTAATGGATACAGAAGTTAAACATTACGATGAGTCATGTAGTTTCTGAAGATTTGAATAAAACTGCTAAAAAATCGCAAAGAAAATCCATGTATTTCGTGACTCTAGCCAATGGATAGAAAATTATAAAGAGTGTGAGCGATTTGCGAAG